CCTTTTTGTAAAATGTTGAGACTATATTTTTACTTATACAGAGAAAAAATTTATTAAAACTTATACAAAATTGATTGCCCAGAACTTGGGAGGCAGAGGCAGGTAGATCTCTGTGAGAGCAAGATCAGCCTGATCTACAAAATGAGTCCCAGGTCAGCAAGAAGGCCCAGTCTCCAACCAAACAAACAAACAAAAAAAAAAAACACCAAAACCCAACAACAACAAAAAACCAAAAACTGGTCTTCAATTCAGTTGTCTTCAAAATGGTAACAATATTTCAACCAGAGTATTTTGTTTTCCTTCTCTTTTATCCTCAGAGAGGTAGACATGAAGTGTAGGAGAGTCCCCTAACATGGAGTGGGGTAGTGGTTGTGGGAAAAAAGTTGCTAACAGTCCAAAATTTAGACGGATCTACCACAGAGCACAGTGACTATGGCTAGTGACAATTATCGTATATTTCAAAGTTACCTAAAGAACAGATGTTCTCACTACAGCATGTTAAGGATGTGAGGATTTGATGTATTCACATCACATACATCAAAACATCACATTGTCCCCCATGAGTATGTACAATCACTGTTTGTGTGTGTGTGTGTGTGTGTGTGTGTGCTTAACTGACACACACACACATATTTAAAACCCTAGAGGCTAGGCATGGTGGTTCATGCTTATTATCCCAGCACTTGGGGGACTGAGGCAAAAGTACTGCCATTATTTTGTGGTCAAGCTGGGCTACATAGTAAGTTACAGGTCACCCTGGCAACAGCGTGAGACACTGTCTCAAAAAATAAAAAAATTGGGGCTGGGGAGATGGCTCAGCGATTAAGAACACTGGTTATTCTTGCAGAAGACCCAGGTTCAAATTCCAGCACCCACATGGCAGCTAACAACTTTCCTTAACTTCAGTCCCAGGGGATCTGACAGCCTCTTCTGACCTCCTCAGGCATTGCGTGACACAAGTGCACTTACCTACATGTAGGCAATACATGCATACACATAAAATAAAAATAATAAATAAAATTAAAAAAAATCAACCAGCCAACCAACCACAACCAACCAACCAACCAACCAACCAACAACTTAGCATGTAGCAAAAATGCCCATAGAGGGCATATACTTTGGGGCAAACTTGTCTCACAGTGAGTGAACACCTTTTCTCTTTGCTTTTAGATTTCCAGTTCCTTCATGCTATCCTATGAAGTCCTCAGATACCTATTTTAGAAATTCCTCTAAACCCAGGGACTGCCTAACTTGGAGGTCTAACTCCCCAGCCTTTCCCTCTGATAAAACCCATTATTTATTTCATTTTAGCCCTGTCAAATGTAGAAACACTGTGGAATGCTAATTCCTTTTTCACCCATAAAGGGTTCACTAGATTTCCCTTAGCTGTCTTTTCTAGTTTCTTTTCCATTGCTGTGACAAAACACTCTGGCCGATAGCAACTTGGGAAGGAAAGGGTTTATTTGGCTTACATCTCCAGGGTCACAGTTCATCACTGAGGGAGCCCAAGGTAGGAACTCAGCGCAGGAACCTGGAGGTAGGAGCTAGAACACAATAATCTGCATGTGGTTGTTGGGACAAATGAGATAGCCCATCCAGCCCACATGAGTGGGTGTCAGGCTTCTTCCCCCACTGACCCTGTGCTAGATAGCTTTAGTTGTCAACTTGACACACCTGAGTAGAGGAAGCCTCAACTGGGGAATTTCCTCCATTGAACTGGCCTGTGGTCATGCCTATGAGGCATTTCCTTGATTGTTGAGTGATGTGGGCAGGCCCAGCCCACTGTGGGCAGTGCAACACTTGGGCAGGTGATTCTATATTGTATAAGAAAACAGGCTGAGCACCGGCCAGGGGAACAAACCAGTAAGTAGTGTTCCTTCATGATCTCTCTCTCTCTCTCTCTCTCTCTCTCTCTCTCTCTCTCTCTCTCTCTCATTTCTTGTGTTTACTCTGATGGCAAGTAGGGTTGGGATAGGGTAAGTAAATAAAAATAAGTAACTGAAAAGAAGCAGATGTTGCAAACAAGGGTATATATAGACAGAAGCTGATGGCTCAAAACTCAGGGCCTGGGTGTTTATATTTAATACTCTGGAAAATATGTGGGCAATTTTGCTTGGGTTCTAGAATTTATTGCTATGCTTTCTCCACTCCAAACAAGTTAGGGAGTAACTTGTTGGATTGGGAGCAGCTCTGTGGGAAAAAGCAAAACACCTCCTAAAGCCAGAAGGAGGGACATCACCTTTCCAAAAGGGGGCAAATCTTCCATCTACTTAACCTGTCCTTGAGGTCTGGGTCATGATCTTTACTTCACCTCATTTATATTAAAAAAAAAATAAAGAAAACAGGGCTAGTGAGATGGATCTGCAGGTAAAGGCACTCGCTGCAGAAGCCTTGTGACCCTGGCGACCAAAGTTCCATCCCCAGAACCCACATAAAGATAGAAGGAGAAAACTGGCTCTACAGAGTTGTCCTCTGACCTCTAATGTTTGCCATGGTATGCACACTGCCCCCCCCACACCAGGTACATACATACCAATAATAATAAAAACAAGCAAATGTGGAAGGAAGGAGGGAGTGACCAGTGAGAGAAAACTGTAGCCTTATAGTGACATCGACCAACTGCAATGTACAGATTTTATCTTGACCCGTACCAAAATGAAATATTAAAGTCCATAACACAAAGAAAAAGAAATTTTTGAATCTGGCCTGACACCACAGTCCTATAACCCCAGCTCCTGGGGAGACTGAGGCAGGAAGTTCACAAGTTCAAGGCCAGCCTGAACTTTGCAGAAAAAGTATTTTTGAATACCAGCTCTATTTGAACACATTGAGGAATTACTGTTGAACTGTTAGATGTGGTAACAGACTGTCTTCAACAAGTCCTAATTTTTTAGAACTGCCTACAAAGCATTAATGTCTTGTTTTGTTTCTGAATAACTGGGGTGGAAGGGAGGTCAGGGAGTGGTTGGAAGTCTACATCCCACAGCCAAAGACACTGGCCATGTGGGGGTATTTGTGGACTAATGAGATACTGAGATACTGGTCTTTCCACTTTATATGGCTCTAAAGTCTTCCATAACAACAATTAAAGAGAAAACTGTTAGTCCCTCCTGTGCTAGCAGTCTGCCAGCATTGAGCACATATCCCCCAAACCTTGAGAGACTCTTTGTGAAATCATTTTTATTTCTCCCACAAACTCACAGTGTTGGATCCTAGAATCAAACCACAACCACCCGTGGTCCTTTTTTTCAATCAGCACAGAG